TAAGAAAAATATTTGTAATCATTACCACTTCAACTTTATATTGTGAATTACTACCATCTGTTGCTTCAGCTAAATAAATAATTTCCTTATGTGATTGTTTATTTGTAAAACGTAAAAATGCTTGTTGAACACGAATAAATTCATCACTTTGTTTATCTTTGATTTGAAATTTTACTATTAATTTTTGATGATAATCAAGTTCAAGTTTGTCAGATTGACCATTTGGATAAGTTAATCTAAAGAAAATTGAATAGAATTATCATTCAATTTATTATTATAATCTTAAATTACTTGTGTGTTTTAGATTGAGCTGCATGATCACGATCTGAAACAATTAATTCTGCATTTTCAATTGTCCCTTCTGATGTAACTTTAACATCAATCTAAAATACGTATTATAATTTTTTAATAAAATTCTCGTTGGAAAAAAACGAATTTTTTTAATACAAACTATATTATCAGTTAAACCAATTAATTTTCCTTCATTACGTGCTGTTAATGTTAAATGAATTGAATAAAATCCACGAGGAATTTTTGTATCATAAAATGGTAATTCATAAACAGAACTAAATAAAAATAGAAACAAATTTTTATTGAAAAATTTTCTTTGTTATTGATAATTAAACATACAAATCACTAGCTTTTGAAATAAGTTTTTGTTTTGATATAACAACAACTCCATCTTCTTTACGCTTAGCTGATTCAGCAACAACAGACATTTCACCAACAGGTTGTCCTAAAAGATTTGTAATTGAAACAAGTACTGATGGATTTTGTGGACTAATAGCCGATGGACTAATACGACTAACAACAACTGGTACTGGATTCTAAATTAACAAAATAATCTTGATTTCGAAAAAACAAATCATAGAATTAATTTTTTATTTTTACCTTATTATCAGATAAATGTTTTAATACTTTTGTTAAATAATAAGCACTTCGTAAAGTAGCAACATGTCGTTTACTTGAAAAATATGTTGCAAATTTCATTAATTGTTTCGGATCAATTTTAATTGGTACATTAGCTTTTTCTGCAACTTCATAAAATGCATTAACAATAAATGCTGTTGTAGAAATGCCACCTTCATATTGTAATATACGGCCATCAATTTCATCAGCTTGTTGAACGAGATCATTTATTGTATCAGCATAATATTTTGCTATGGGTTGACTTAATTGTGCACCAGTTAATAACGCATAAGCTTGACTTAATACACTATCATCAGTTTTTGCTAATATATTAAGACGTTTTTCAATTTTAGATTCATCAATATTTAAACCAAGATTAACACTTGAACAGACGGCATAATAAATTTCAGCTGTTTTACTTTGATCAGATTGGAGAACTGATGTTAAAGTTGCACGATAATCTTCGGCGGGCAACTACAATTAAAAAAAAGTAACAATGAATAAAAGTTTTCTTTTTTTTTTTATGGATAAAAATACTTTGCAATTAACTAATGTTTTCGCTGCTTCAGTAGCATGATATATTGATTCAACATTTGATTTATCAACTAATTTTTTAATATCATTACAATATGAATCCGGAAGTTGAACACCAAGTTCTTTAATACCGCTCAAGGTGTAATGTAATGATGCTACATCCGAAAATGATTTAATTGCTGTTTGAAATTGAGCTTTCAATCCATTTAAATTAGCTGTATTTAGATTAGCAGCTATTGCCGACGTTGTATACCATGAAAATATTGGAAGAATAATAAGAATAATCCTCATTAACGATGTAGACGTCATGGTGAATCTGAAAAACGAAAAACAATAAGAAAAATAAAAGGTAAGTATATATAACAATATATCCACCATGGACGAAGCTGGTAAAATACCGCCATATTGACAACGACAGCATTTGCCATTTTATTGGTTCATATGTTCTGACTAATTACAGATGACTTGCAATTTTTTCATTTTATCTATGTTACCAGAGGACGCAAGTAGCTATTGAAATAAAAAATATGGATGAACTTTTTTTGTTTGTCAAATACAACCATATAAGTAAAATAAGTGCGAAAAATCTGTGGAAAAACGAAAAATTTTCAAGATTAGGAGGTGTCCAGTGGTGCAGAATCTACCTGTGTGCCGATGGCTGTCGGGAAAATTTTTGAAATCTCCGAAATGTGAATCTTGGTTTATCTATATATACATCGGTAAGACTTTCTACATATCTTTTTTTCTCACTAAACTTTCGAAAGAGTCATCCGCGTCTGTATTGTAGTGCCATTGTCGTCTACTGTTGCTAACATTCATCATGCATATTGCAACCTCTTTCACCCTGTCTCTTTGTACCTATTCATAATACAACACACACTAGTTATGTTCTCCTCTTTTCTTTCTGCACGTTTTTTGTTACAATGGCACTACTGGCTGTTTTTCTCTGCTGCTATGTACAGTTGCTTTGTATGGGTGTGGGTGTGCGTGCGAGTATAGTTTATCTGTTACTCACACGCTCGAACCTGTGAAAGTTGGCTTGATTCCATTTCCGATAGTTATCATTATATGCTGTCAAGCGATAATCAGACTGTCGTCTTACAAGAAAACACTGATGTTTATATTTTCTAATATATGAAGATGAAATGAACGATGCATATATAGAAAATCTTGCTGATGACAGTCAAGAGTTTGAGATTGTTTGTATTTAGATTATGAATTTTTTTTTTGTATTGATAACAAAATAATAAAAAGTACGCATAATAAATCAAGAAAAAAAGAATTGTTATTTGAATAAAAAGAAACGATTGTAGTGCGAGACTTTTCGAATTTATCATTATTAATGAGTTTTCAGAAAACAGTTCAATTGAATGAAGTATGGTGGATACTTTTACATATAATGTACTAAACCAAAACGATTCAAAGAGAATGTGGGTGTGATTAAACAGAATACCAACATCTATACTCACATTCTTCTTGATATTATTAAAAGTACTGGTTATAAATGCACGTTTTAATCCAGATTTGTGCAGCTATCTCTTAGACTCCAACGACATGATTTAAAGGTCAGAGACCAATAAGTATGGCTTTCCTAGTAAAAGGAGAAAGAATGACAACAGAAAAGGCATTGAATGACATCATCAACCAGATTTAGACTATTCTAAATCAAAAACATTTTAAAGCCTTCCTTGAAATTTCAATGGCTGAAATATGTTTGTGAAAACTTTAACCGACTTATTTACTAGTTACATCAATGATTGAAATTATAATATAACACACAATATGAAATACAACTCAACAAGCCAAACAGAAATTAGAGCACAAATGCACAAAATAAATGAGACTGATGATTTTCGTGAAAATTGATTATCTTTTGTAAACAATAATAATGTTCACCAGAGATATTTTACTTAACCTATTTTGTATTAGTATATGCAGGTAAAATTTAATGACAATTTATTCTCATAGGGTTTAGAAAATTTAGATCCAATTGTTATAACAGAGACCAATTCTAGTAAAAAAGTAACGGGTTGCCCAGAATAAATGAAGGTCTCAGTATTTTGACTATAACTTTTTTTCTTTTTGATCTTTAGAGCTGCTTGTTTTACCAAAAGATGCGCCGTGAAATTCTCTACAAAACCATGACTAAACTTATTTCCGTAGAAAATAAAGGAAAAAAGCTAAATGAATACTATTCAAAACATAAAATGTGCCCAACTTTCAAAGCTAACAGGTGTTCTACGAATGACTNACAAATTCTAATGAACTACTATCCACTTCTTCGTTTAAAACTCAAGTTTTCTAAATCATCATCATCAAACCATACAATATAGACAGGTGTATTCTATGGATAAAAATCTTTTGTTGAAACATGAGATTTATTTGTTTAGTGCTTTTAGTAATATTTCAGTTGTTTGAATTAATTTAAATTTTACTTGTGTTTTCTATATTTTTTGCTAGTAAATGTTTCATGATTTAGAAAACTTGAGTTTTAAACGAAGAAGTGGATAGTAGTTCATTAGAATTTGTAACGATTGGTATAAGTTTATAACTGAATAATAGATGACCCAAAAAGAATAAATCTCACAGTATTTTAACTAGAACTTTTTTTTCTTTTCAACTCTTAGATCTGATTGTTTTTTAGAAGATGCCTAGTCAAATTCTCTATATTTAGATCAGTAGTGACTCCTTTATCAAGGTTGAACAACAAAATTTTAGCTCATGGATATTTTTCTTGAATTCAACTAGGAAAAGATTAAAAAATAATCGATTTGAACCATTTAGAACAAGTACACTTCGAAGTATTCAAAAATATCTTTACATGTTAGTTTCGTTGCCTATAGAATTGTTTTAAAATACTCAGAATTTTTAACAACAAAATATCTTAGAAAGTGAGTTCATTTCAACTTGTTGAATGTTCTTCGCTTAATTTTTTTCCTTAATTCCCTATAGAAATACGTGTGATCAAGTTTCTGTAGAGAATTTGACGGAGCATCTTCTGGAATAACAATCGCGTCTAAATGTTAAAAAGAAAATAAGTTCTAGTCGAAATACTAAGAAACTCATCTTTTATGGTCCATCCGTTGTATTATGCATAGGTTAGACAAACATTTCTTTGAAGTATAACTAAACTTATTTTAGGCAGATCTCAAAACTGTACATACAGGTGCATAATAATTTAAATATCTTTTTGTCGTAATGAATATTCATAATTGACATATATATATATATACGTATCTGTTCTATTTGTATATGTATGGGAAGTAAACATTACAAAGAAAAAAAAAAGACAATAGCGTGAATACACAAACATCGGTTATGCTGCCTCTCTAATAGATAAGATTAATTTCATAACAAATCAAAACAATAAAGAAATTGAAAAGATTTGAACTCATGCTTCTCTCTTTCAATTACACTTTCGAACAAGTAATCGTGATATACAAAAAAAAATAATAAAATAAAATCAATATAAAACTTGTACAAATGAAGTACATAGAATTGATCGATAAAGATAATTTATCTATACCTGAGATTGAAACAAACATTGTTCATATCTCTTAAATATACGATGATGTTCTTAATGGAGGAATAGATATAGGTCGATCAGGTAAAGTAGTTATTGATAATACTTCTGTACAAGCTGGTGTTGATGAAGGACGATTTTTATTTGATGAAAATGAATCTGTTTTATTCATATGACGATGAGACCTATTGTATGATGATGATAAAATAGGTGTACCCGATGATTTTCCATAAAAATCACGTTTTTTACGTGGTGATTGCATTATCATTTCTTGACTAAGAATAATTGAAAACAAAAAACAAATTTTGATAAATATTTAAACAAAACTAAAACAAACCTAATGTCATCTGATTTGTTCGATGATGATGATAAAGAAGTATTGATTACTGTTTGAATATTTTTTGATTGTACAATTGATGGTTGTACAAGTTTCTCTTGTTTTGTTTGATGTTCAACTTTAGATACAACTGAATGAACTTGTACTGGTTCAATTTGTTTCGTTGATAGAAGATTATTAGTATTAGTTGAAATATTTGATGGTTGAGGTAAACATTCTTGTAAATCATTATGTTTATCAGTAACTTTAATGATTTTTATTGGTGAAACAATTGCATGACCATCTGAATTCGGATTCGAAATTTTTTTTGCTCGTTTTTGAATAATAAAATCAGTTTTTCGTTCTGACTTAACGACGTTATATAATGGCGAAGTATCTAAACAAAAATAAAGAATTTAAAGATACGTCTAAATATTTTCAATACTTTGATTCGATTTTGAATTTAAATCAAAATCATTATCAACAGAAGTATTTGAACGAATTGATACACAAGATACTTGGTTTGTTTCCGTTAATGATTTATTTAAATAATCAATATGATTAAATTGTTGTTTATTTTCTTGTTGTTGTGTTTGTCTACTCATATTAACTAATAATGTTGAGTATACATTATCATGTAATAATTGTTCTGTTGTTGTTATTGATGATGATGATTGATGTCCATTTGTTAGAATATTATTCAAAATAAAATTCATTTTATCATTTTCATAATTATATTCTGCTATTTCTTTTTCAAGTGTTGCAACTTTTGAACGTAATTCTTTATGTTTATTTGATATATCATTTGCATATGATATCAATTGTACAGGTCGTTCTAATTCGTCAATACCTAATTCATTTGTACGTAATTTAAGTAAATTAATAGCATCATCTAGTAAAGCTTTAATATTATTTTCTAAACAATTAACTTTCATTTTTAATGTTTTATTTAATTCCATTTCATTATCTAATTGTTTTTTTAAATGTTCACGATAAATATCTGATTTCATATATGTAAAATATGTTATAAGACGTTGACGAAATTGTTCTAAATATGTATTTATTGAATTAAATATATTTTGATCATTTTGTTCTAATAAACAATCATGAAAATCATTCACATGAAGATTATCATTTGATAAATTTGTCATATTTTGATAATTAAATTGTTGATTTTTCATTTGAAAATTTTGATTTAATTGAATAAATTTTTCTGATGCTGTATGTAATTCATCTAATGTTACTTGATAATCTTTATATGATGAACGACGATGTTTAGAATTAAATAATTCATCATTTGATGCGTCAGAATCAAATTCGGATTCATTATCTGATTGATGTTTTATATGAATTTTACGACCACGTGCACTAATTATTGTTGAATGATTTGATGGTGATGCTGTTGGGATTGGAGATTTTATTTCACGTTTACGTTTGGAATGTTTTAACTGAGGAGTTGGTGGTTGATTTTCATCAATTTTTGTTGTTTTAGTTTGTTGACTATTTTTGAGAATTGATAAAGATCGAATGGAAGAGTTGTTTGATGATGATGATTGATCATCGTCATTATGTTTCAAATGACTAAACAAAAAGTTTTAACATAATAATGAATCAAGATACAATTTGACTCATAATAAAGAGACTTGCGACAACGAACTGAAAAATTTCGAAAAACTTTCTATAGATCCGAATGTCTGAGACCTGAAAACCTTTTGTCTATTTTTAAAAAGATAAAAATATTTTCTTGAAATGGTCTTTCCGACCAAAAAATTTTCAAATCAATTCAAGATCACCACCATGCTTTATCATGCGTACCAAACGTTTTAATTTCAAATTTGTACGCTTTTTCGACCTGGGGAAATACATTAGTAGTTTTATTGGTTAAGATTCTTGCGTTTTTTGTTTCTTTGAAATTATTCATCTGTTTGTTTGAACAATTAATTAAATAAGATATGAGTGAAGAAATTGAAATATAAATCTGAAAATTTCTAATAGAAAAAAAAAATATTAGATCGTTCTCAATTATTCTTTAGTGTTAGTATTGTATGCTGATAATTGACAAAAATTGATCTTATTGAAAACATATTAAGAGGATATTCATTATCATCCATTATGATCGACAATGGAACATAGAAGTCTATTTTTTGTTGAAAATTTTCGCAATATTTCTTTCATGATTGACATCAAAGTCAATTTAAAGCATTGTATATATAGGACAATCTATCTTCCAATCAGAATCGAGGAAGTCATAGGATTCTGTTTGGTATTATTAACTGAAAACACTCACAGGTGATTCACATCGTTTACCTTTTTATCAATAGGTAAGGTCGGTCGGCTTTGTCTCGGATCCGGATCAAACTTTGTAAATTGTGGACCTGACGAGATCTACCAATAGGACAGCATTTATCGGTTCTATCTCTGAAGCACATCGCCTGGGAATGCATTTGTGTGAGCACATTTTATATTTTACAAACCAATAGTATTAATTTTAACTCATTATTAGCCTACGAAATTTTCTTCTATACTCAAACATGCGTAATAATAGATTTAAACTTACGTAGATCAATAAGGTTCTCATTATTTTTTCTTGAAATGTAATTCGAAAAAATCATTAATTCTGACTCTTTATGCATAAATTAAACAAATCATAATAAAAAAAAATACTTACTTTGTTTTTGATCCTTTCGTATGAATTTGATGCATTTTTTCATAGTAATGTGCTAATTTACTATGATCAATGACATGAAGATAATATTGAACACATTTATCTGACCAACTAACTTTTCCAAGAAATTCTTCTGGTTTTCTTTAAATATAAATGATAAAATAAGTTTTTCAAACCATAATGTATTTAACTTACGTTACATGCATAACAGCACCTAAATCATTTTTTGTTCTATCATTAAGTCGAAATGTTTCCGAACAAAACTCTCTTGATGAAACAATTTTTGCACCATCTAATAATAACAATAAAAAAAGACCACAAAAAAAAACAAAGTTTTTTAAACTTTTTACCTTTCATATTCATAAATTTAACTTTTAATTCATGATTAACTGTTGAACCAAATACATAATTATTAGCAAAAATCACATCAGCTTCTTTAATTCTTTCATCAACTTTTGGATGTGTTAAAAAATCTCCCTGTTCTAATTGAAATTCTGAATAACGTTTACCGTACCAACGCATCCAAAAACGAAATTCCTCAGCCATAGCACGTGCATATGTTGCTGGAGTTTCTTCATGTTCAATACCATAAACATGTTTACAATTAGATAATGCAGCGATATGTAAAACAACATTTCCAACACCAGAACCAAGATCAATAAATGTTTGTTCTTCAGTTAAATTAATTATTTTAAGAATTGAATCAATTAAATCTGGTGATGTTTCACCATAAACCTTGAGTAAAACACAAGAAAATTTATACAAAAAATCAACGAAAAAAACTCTTCTTCGTATTTACTGATGGTGAAAATGGTTCATAGTCACGTAGTTTATCTGGATCAGTTACAGCTCGACTATAAACTTGAGCAAGTATATGACGAAATAATTTAGCTGTTGGACATTGTTGAAGACGTGCTGAAAAAGCTTCTGTACCACGATTTAATTTGACATGTGTGTCAATTATTTTATTAAATTTATCACATAATTCTTTCATTTTACTATATGAATGTATATCACAATTATCGAGGCCAAGATTTTGTTGATATAATACGGGATAATCTTTAGAAAAAATAAATAAATAGAATTGTGAATTTTTCTAAGATTAAATATTAATTAGAAAGAAAAACCTTCAAAAACTAAACGAATTGTTCGAACAATTTCATCACCACCGATAAAAACTGAATCTTTTTTTGTTTTCTAAATTGAATTAAAAGTAGATAAAAAGGAAAATTTCAATGATTTACTTGTCGCTCAATATTAGGCCAAGTAAATACAGCTGGTTCAACACCAGCTGGACTATGAAGTTTAAGTTCACGTACTATGCTATGATTTGCCATGTCATCTAGAAAGAATAAAGCAACTTGTTTTGACTCAGTGGCTTTTTTTTAGGTCATATATTATGAATATTAAATAAGAATAATAGATGATCGTGTGTTGTCACAATCCGTTGATTTGATTCGAGGAAAAACCGCAGAGAATTGATTGGGTAATGTTTTTTCTTTTTCTCTATGGCTATTTGCTTGATATTGACCAATTGAAACAAAAATAGAAATATAAGAAAGTTTATTCCAAATCAAATATTTTCTTTGATGAAGTTTTCAATTTTCATTTTAAAATAAATCGATTAGAATAAAAACTCTATGTAGATGACGCTGATGTCCATTAGTGGTTAAAAAACTTTTAAATAAAACCTATATAGACACGAGGATCATTTAACTTACTACTACAATGAGCTTAGCAAAAAGTTTTTCTTGAATTAATATTGTCGAAATGTTTACAATACTACTTATCAACGACAAAATACTTACGAATCATAGTTTTTGTGTAAGTATAAAGCTTACGGTTAAAAATAAATCAACACAGATATGCATGCATAGTACAAGAGTTGACGCTTATAATACAACTAAAAATCGAATTACTTTAGTTTAATCACATTTACATACTGATTGGTATGATTTTCACATACAACACTACATCTGGTATAGGGTCGCCGTGATTAAAATGAAGAAAAATCTCAAATGTTATTTAAGAATGCATTAAAAGTACTCCCACACTCTTTCCTAGATTTCTGCAGAATAGTTCATCATACAAATTTGAAATTTTAAGGGCAGGTGGATCTTGACGATTACAGCAAAAGTTGTCATAGACTTAAAGTTTTCAGATAATATCTTCTAGGAGATAATGAGAACCCAACGGTCCCGTCTCTTCGAGCTGCTATTGTTCGATCCAGCTGAAAATATTTTTACAAATACCAGACACAGGTTCAGATGGTTATTTTTTTTACTTTTTTGTTCTTCGAGTAAAAAAGCCAGAATATGGAAGGTAGCCTAAAGAAATGCATGGCCTTTTTTTCTTAATAGAGGTACGAAAAATCACATAATATACCGCAGAATATTACAAGTCGCAAGTATTTTGTCATTGATAGGTAGGAATTCAAGTTGTAAAAATTTTATCGAAAAATACCAGACAAAACATATGCCGTTCGTATCAAAATAGTTTATATGGAAGAATTTACTACAATTTTATTCATCGAATTTATTGAAGTAGATACTAGTTATATATGTTCAGCAGTGTCCCGAGTTCGCCAGGATGCGGAGTGGGAAGTTAAGTTGAATGGATTTTGAGGGGAAGTTGCTGGGCAGAAAAAAAACAATCAGATATATTATTCACATATTCGGAGATAAATGATGAAATGTTTATTTGTTTGTTTTTGCACAGAAAATGCTTCAAAAAATATTGATTAAACTATAAAATGGCTGCGATTTAACTGGTCAGTAAAATACTTGAAATGGTCAGTTTATTATATATAATTAGCAGTAAAAAATACAGATTTTATCAGCAGAAATTGTTTTTTTTTATCTGTATAAAGTATAGTTGATCATAAGAACAATAATTTAAATAAAAAAAAATACAGAAGAAATGAAGAGAATTAAGTAGAAACTTGAAGAACCAAAAGAAAAAAATCATGAAAATTAAATTATTGTACTAGTAAAATAGTTTTAGTCTTTGCTATTGCTAGTGGATTGCAATGTTTCAGATGAATAGCCATACCAATAATGTGTTTGCATATGTAGTTCTTAAAAAATACTGGACAGTTGTATTTTGATGTTTTTCAAGATGAACCGTTATCCGATTCCATACACCAAATTATCAAATGAGTTTTTGAATTGATTAAATGTTGTGCACTTTTTATTTTTATATTTATTTAAATCGGCTTGTGTCATCGATTGTAAATCACGAGCTGGTATATAATTTTTTTTGAAGAATACCTGGAGATACAAATATTTTGTTTGTTATTGATTTAGCCCATTGATATGATAAAGTCTATAATTGTAAAGATATTGCTGGTTCTATAGCAAATATTTTTGCATTTATTAAGGATACATCTCGTTCAACTAACAGGTTATTGATAATGCTTGAGGCTATTATTAAAAATCTTGATATAACATGACGTTTCTTTAACCCAATATCTTGATTTCTTCTTTTTAGAAGATCTTCCATTTTCATTTATATCATAACTTTCTTTCACAATCTCTTCATCTGATATATCACTTTCATATTGAGCAATTTTTACCACGTCCATTGTGAAGTTATTTCTCTCAGAAACTTTATTGCTTCTATTGAATAATAGCCAAAGATAATTCTATTCAATACACATATACATTTTATTCCAAAAACTAGTCGGCAACTATAGATAGGTTCTGAACAATATTCTAGATATGGTAATATCTGAGTGCGTTTAAAGGGAAATACCTAAGAGAGAACATCAAAGGAGAAAACCTATCATTACAGAAAAAGGGATAATACATATGGTGTAGTGAAAAGAGGAAAATCACAACATAGAAGAGAACGCGCAAAAGTAACAGATGAAAAAAAGAAAAAAAAAGTGAATTACTCTATAACGTATTTCAATTTCTATATTTATCCTATCATTTATTTGACTATTAGTAAATTTTATTTACTGATCTTTAAATTTATTAGCAAGCCTAACTCGCTACTAACTGATCATTTAAGTTATTTACTGATGAAAGTGCTCCATTTGTAAAATATTTTTTTCATAAAGTTTATAAAGTTGAAGTCATCCAAATTAATTAAATTAACTAAACAATAAAGCGAAGTATTTTTCTCAGAATGTAAATCATGATGATAAACGGTAAATAATCAGTTGCATATTTAAAAAAAACAGTCGATACGTTACTTTTTTTCCTTTGCCCTGTTAACTTCTTTTTTTTTTGCGTTTCTTTTTTTCCCATTAAAATACTGCACTGTTACTCGATTCGTCGTGTGCATGTCACAATAAACGTCCTTGTTGTATGGCGTAAGGTTTTTTTTTATTATGATGTTTGAATCATAAGTCACGGAATAGGATTGAGGATTTCTGTGATATTTTTTGTGTTTATTGATAGATTTATTTTGTAACGAAAATAACGATTAATAAAGTGTATTTAAAAATATTCCCGCCTACTGATTTTGGGGAACAGCTGGTTGAAAATTATTTATTTCTTTTTTTTAAATAATAAAAAAAAATGTGTAGCTTCATTTGTTTTTCTTTTCTGTGAAAAAGTATGCAACCATTATGTCGATTGCGCTACTGATTATTGTTTTTTTTTTCTACTATTTGATATAGATGATGAAAAATAGTAATAAAGAAACTGATGCGAATATAACATATTCGCTCGAAGAGTGTATTAATTATATTGGTTTGGGAAGATTTCAATGGCGTTTAATTGCTATACTTGGTTTTTGTTCAATGGCTGATGCAGTAGAAATGATGCTTTTAGCTATTCTAGGACCGGCATTAACATGTTATTGGCCTAATATAACGGAAATTCAAATAGCTTCATTAACTACTGTACAAAAAATTATTTTGTTTATTTTCATTTTATTAATGATTTATTTTTTTGTTTATAGGGTGTTTTTGCTGGTATGATGTGTGGAGCATTTTTATTTGGTATTTTAGCTGATAAATATGGTCGACGACGAGTCATTCTTATTTGTGCAATATTAAATACATTCTTTGGAATATTTACAGCTTTTGCGCCAAGTTATTATTGGATACTTTTAGCAAGAACACTTGTTGGTTTTGCATTATCAGGTGCTGCTCAAGGGTAAGTACAAAAAAAGATGAGAATCGCTGTATTTTAGTACATCAATTGATTATAAGAAAAAGTAATTGTGACGGATTAGAGTAAGTAAAGGAGTAAGGTTAGTTTTCTCGTAGTCTTCCGATTATGTAGATAAAACTGAATGAAAAAAAAAAGTTTACTTTTGATCACTTGTACAGAAAAGACAAAATATGAAATATATCTGTGGATACATTCAAATCGTTTGAAGTTTTCAGGAGATATTCATCAAATAAGACTAAAAACTAGCTCATTTTGCAAACCGAAATTTTTTATGGGTCTTCATGCTGCAAATGTCAATCAGATCTTTGTTTTTCTCATTCTTACTTTTTATGCAAAGAAAAAATAATGACTAATTCAATCTATAGAAAAACTCTAAAAAAAAATGGTCGTCTATTAATAAAAATGTTTATTTAAATAAATGGATTGTGATAAGTACTACAGTGTGACAATGCTCTTCCAAAACAAAAACAAAGCCGTTTGGTACAATGAAGCTGCTTCGAATATTCTTGAATACACAATCAGCACACGATTCGCCACTATTTCTGAAAAAAAGCAACGTGCCAAATAAAAAATCATATTGTTTATGAAAGTTCGATCTCAATATAGTTCTACATGCATCGATCTTAATTTCAATAATTCTGATGGAAGGCGAGCTGAGGGGAATATTCGAAATCAAATATTTCTTGCCAAAAATTTTTCATTAAAATAAATCATCGAGTTTGTTTTTAAATGTAATTCTTATAACAGAACTAAGCTTAAGCATAAAATGAGATCTATTCGAAAATACTTTATACAATATCTGTTATTCAAATTATTATTTCTTAATATCAATTTTTCTCAAACATGATTAGTTTTATATATTGACTTTTAGCTCTACATTAATGCTTGAATATTTACCATCATCTACACGTGCAACAATTGTAATTGCTATTGAATTATTTTGGTCATTAGGTAGTATTTTTGAATATCTTATGGCGATGATTATTGTACCAACATATGGATGGCGTTTATTAACAATACTTTCAGCTTTACCTATATCAATTGTTGCTATTTGTATCTATGTAAATATATGACATTTATGTCTAAGAAAAGTGTTTAATTTCTTTTTTTTTTTTTGGAACTTAGTTTATACCAGAATCACCTCGATATTATGTTGCAAGTGGTCTCCAAGAAAAAGCTGAACAGACATTGAAAATAATAGCTTTAACAAA